GATAGCACTTTGCCTTTGAGACTCCCTGATGACAGGCATGTGTGTGTATCAAGCTTCTATCCTGTGTTTTTTGTTTTGTTTTGTTTTGTTTTTAAGATTTTATTTATTTAACAGAGAGAGACATAGCGAGAGCAGGAACACAAGCAGGGGGAGTGGGAGAGGGAGAAGCAGGCTTCCCGCAGAGCGGGAAGCCCGATGTGGGACTAGATCCCAGGACCGTGGGATCATGACCTGAGCCGAAGGCAGACGCTTAACGACTGAGCCACCCAGGCGCCCTCTTGCATTTCTTTTTTAAAAAAAATTATTTACTTCAGAGAGGGAGAGAGAGAGAGCAAGCATGAGTGGGGGGAGGGAGGGAGAAAGAAGCAGACTCCCCACTGAGCAAGGAGCCTGATGCAGGGTTTGATCCTAGGACGCTGGGATCATGACCTGAGCTGAAGGCAGACGCTTAACCGGCTGAGCCACCCAGGCACCCCAAAATCTTGCATTTCTATGCACTAACAATGAAGTAGCAGAAAGAGAAATTAAGAAAACAGTTCTGTTTATAATTACACCGAAATGCTGATATAGCTGAATTAAACATATTTCAGTAACCCTAGTCAGTAATAAAAATTATTTATACCAGAAAATATTACCCTTTTTAACTGCAAAGGAAAGGTTGGCCCATACTTCTGGCTGTAATTGGTATAGCTTAAAAGAGCCACATCACATAATCTTGAAGTTCTGAATCAGGTACCAAAAAAGGTATTTGAAGAAACATGCAAATCAAATAGAATGCTTAGGAATAAACTTAACCAAGGAAGTGAAAGACCTGTACTCTGAAAACTGTAAAACAATGATGAAAGAAATTGAAGATGACACTAACAAAGGGAAAGATATTCCATGTTCATGGTTTGGGAAAACCAATATTGTTAAAATGTCCATATTGCCCAAAGCAATCTATAAATATAATGCAATCCCTATCAAAATACCAACAGCATTTTTCACCGAAACTGGAACAAATAATCCTAAATTTTGTATGGAACCACAAAAGAGCCCAGATAGACAAAGCATTCTTGAAAAAGAACAAAACTGGTGGTATCACAATCTCAGATTTCAAGATAGACTGTAAAACTATAGTAATCAAAACAGGTATGGTCCTGGCATAGAAATGTAAAACAGATCAATGGAACAGAATAGAGTCCAGAAATAAACTCATGCTTTGATGATCAATTAACCTACGATAAATAGGTAAGAATATACAATGTGAAAAAGTCTCTCAACAAATGGTGTTGGGAAAACTGGACAGCTACATGCAAAAGAATGAAACTGGGCCACTTTCTTACACCATAATAACTCAAAATGGATTAAGGACCTAAATGTGAGACCTGAAGCCATAAAAACCCTGGAAGAAAACATAGACATTATTAGTCTCTTGGACATCAGCTATAGGAACATTTTGCTAGATATGTTTCCTTTGGCAAGGGAAACAAAAGCAAAATTAAATTGTTGGGACTACGTCAAAATAAAAAGCTTTTCCACAGTAAGGGAGACATCAACAAAACTAAAAGACAGCCTACTGAATGAGAAAAGATATTTGCAAATGATGTATCTCATAAGGAGTTAATGTCCAAAGGTATTAAGAACCTAACACAGAATAAACAATCTGATAAAAAATGGACAAAGGATCTGAATAGACATTTTACCAGAGAAGACATACAGATGGCCAAAAGACACAGGACAAGTTGCCCAACATCATTCATCATCAGGGAATTGCAAATCAAAATGACAATGAGATCTCACCTCACACATGTCAGAATAGCAAAAATCAAAAAGACAAGAAAAAAGTGTTGACGAGGATGTAGAGAAAACGGAACCCTTGTGCCCTGTTCGTGGGAATTCAAGGTGCTGCAGTCACTGTGGAAAACAGTATGGAGGTTCCTCAGAAAACTAAAAATAGAACTACCATATGACCCAGCGATTCCACTATTGGGTATTTACACAAAATATATGAAAGCGCTAATTCAAAAAGATATATGCACCCGTATGTTAATTGCAGCATTATTTATATTAGCCAAAATATGGAAATAAGTCAAGTGTCCATCAACAGATGAATGGATAAGAAGATGTGTGTGTGTGCATGTGCGCACACACACACAGGAATATTACTTAGCTATAAAGAATGAAATCTTGCCATTTGCAACAACATAGATGGATCTAGAGGGTATAATGCTAAGTGAAATACGTCAGAGAAAGACAAATGTCATATGATTTCACTCATGTGGAATTTAAGAAATAAAGAAAAAACAAAAACCATACTCAAATACAGAGAACAAATTGATGGTTACTAGAGGGGAGGTCGCTGGGGGATGGGGGATAAGA